CCATCTCGTTCCCGAGCCTGCAGTGTGTTGATCACCACCGTCACACCTGTGCCGGCCAGGACGTCTCCACCCCAGCCATCTCCCTGCCTCCTGAGCTGACATCCTTTGCCGATGTGTTCAGCGAAAAAGAGGCGGACCGCTTACCCCCGCATCGACCCTACGACTGCCCGGTGGATCTGCTGCCCAACGCGCCATTGCCTGTGGGCCGCCTGTACTCCATGTCGGAGCCCGAGTTGGCCGCCCTACGGGATTTCCTAGAGAAGAACCTGGCCCGTGGGTTTATCCGGCCTTCGTCCTCCCCGCTCTCGGCCCCGGTCCTTTTCGTGAAGAAGAAGACGGGGGACCTACGCCTGTGCTGTGACTACCGGCGCTTGAACGCCATCACAGTGCGGAATCGCTACCCCCTGCCGCTCATTCCCGAGCTGATGGAGCGATTGCGAGAGGCCTCGATCTTCACGAAGCTAGACCTCCGAGGGGCCTACAACCTGGTGCGCGTGCGTGAGGGGGATGAGTGGAAGACGGCGTTTGGCACCCGATACGGCCACTTCGAGTATACCGTCATGCCGTTCGGGCTGACCAACGCTCCCGCGGTCTTCCAGCACCTGATGAACGACGTGTTCCGGGACATGTTGGACCGATTCGTGGTGGTCTATCTGGATGACATTTTAATTTACTCCCCGAACCAGGAGAGCCACCTCCAGCATGTCCGCCAGGTCCTGCAGCGCCTGCGGGAGAATCACCTCTATGCGAAGTTGGAGAAATGTTACTTCTTCCAGACTTACATAGAGTTCCTTGGGCACATCATCACCCCCGAGGGCATCGCGATGGACCCGCGCAAGATGGAGGCGTTGCGCAGTTGGGAACCCCCACGTCGGGTGAAGGACGTCCAGCGTCTGCTGGGGTTCGCCAACTACTACCGGACCTTCATCCCGGGCTTCGCCACTCTGACCGTGCCGCTGACCCAACTCCTTCGGAAGAAGGTCCCGTTCCAGTGGGGGCCCCCACAGCAGCAGGCCTTCGAGGTCCTCAAGCGGGCCTT